CCCCCGGGCCGGCCCCTGGAGATGACTTAAAGAGAAACTCTTAGTTTGATCAGAAATTTCAACCTCTTGGGTGTGAACTTTGAAAGGTTTTTTACTTTGTCCTTTGCAATGAAAAATAGCCAATTATTCTCACCTTTTAAGGGTATTCAAATTGCCATCCCATAAATTATAACATTAAAATATGTAATAACTTGAATTAAAGTAGAATTATGTTATGTTGACCTTGAAATGCAAATATTATGGCATTATCAGTAAAAAATTTTTAATTTCAAAATGTTTGGTTTTATCTTCCTTGGCTGTTTTTTACCTAAGAAATTACCTGATCTGATAGCAGAATCAAGAGCATATTTTCCCCAGTGTGAGAAATAGAACAGCTTTCAAGATTCAAAGTACTTGTAGAGGGAATTAAGTTTAGTTAAGTCTTTTCTGCTCAAGTTCCAGTCAGTAGGAAACAAAGCTGTTAACAAAAAATACTGTGTGTACTTATAAAAGCTGTTGAGAGTTTACATCATATGATTGTTCTGGGGCCATCCCTTATATCCAATTCCTCACACTCTGTATCAGTATTGTTTGGGTTGCACATGATGGGGAATCTGATCCAAACTGGTTAAGCTAAAAAAAAAAATCTATGGGTTTATATAAGTGAACCATGCAAGAGTATATTTAGCTTTGAGCACAGCTTGATCCATGTCTCAAACAAAGCCATCAGTTTTCATCTTTCAGCTTCCTCTTGGTTCTTTAGGCTCCACGTGGTAGCTCTCATGACAGCAATTGCCTCACACCCTCATTTAGCCTTATGCTTCCCTGCCTTTTAAGCCCTGTAGAAAAGAGAAAGTCTGTATATCAACTGTCCCAGCAAAAATTCTGAGGTTCATTCTGATACAACCAGCTTTAGGGCCCAGCCTACCAATCACTGTAATCAGGGGCGGGCAGTAGGAGGGGAGATACTCTCTTAAACCAGTCTAAAAATTACTCTTTCTGGCGCTGGGGATGGTAGAGAAATAACGGCCTAAAACCATATACATGGCTGATGGAGGGAAGAGTTTTCCATAGAAAGTATGGGATACTGTTTTTGTCCCTTAAAAAAGAGGAAAAATCAAGCTGTACCTTAAACTGCAAGTTTCTACTCTCCCCTCCATTCTAAGATCTTGAGAAACCTTAAACCCATCATTTTGAAACTCCTGTTTTCTCCTCCTTAAATGGAGGGAGGTGGGAAATTGGGGAATAAATAGCTGAAATAGATTGCATCAAGGAGAGAGTATGGTATGGGGAAGCACAGAGGGAAAGCATAATTTTAAGACCTTCTCAGGTGATGTTCCTGATTAGTCTATCAGAATTTTTTTTTTAAATGAGGAAAGAAAGGATTTGTATACATATTTCATTTCCTACCCTCCTTTTTTCCAGCCCCGAAGACTAATAACTGTCTTATAGGCTGTTTGCCTAAGAACATGTAACCATTTTTTGTATACTTTAAGCTAATTTCCCATGTGCCTGGCCCTTATTTCTTGGACTAATGTTCTTTCCATATTAGGTAGATTAAACTCATATACCTAGTAAGGTAGTAAATCAGTTAATAAATTCTTTAGAACTTAACATTTTCTGTACTGTTATTTATATTAAAAATATTTAGTCATCAAAAGCAATTGTTTCTAACTTAAAAAATCCAGTAATTATCTTTTTCATACACTTTGCTTTCTCTAATCTCTTTGCTTTTTTTTAACCTGCCATTTTTTTACACCAGCAGTTCTCAAACTTTAGTTTTCTCAACTTGAGATCAAGCAGATCTCAAACCTGGGATCGCCTTGAGAGCTTGTTAAAACACAAGATTTCTAGGTCCTTCTCCTCCAGAGTTTTTGATTCACTAAGTCTGGGGTGGAACCAGAGAATTTACTAGGTTCCCATGTGATCCTGAAGCTACTGGTCCAGGGAGCTTTGTTCTGAGAATCTCTGTAATAAAATCACTTGTCCCTACCTCTGCTGATTTCTACTATCGCTGCTCCCTGAAGCCTTCTCTGGTCTATCCAAATTGATCCTTTGTTCATTCTTCTTAAAATGGATGTACCTATGGTAATTTCACTGGAACCTTAAAACAAATCTCTTCTATCTACTGGACGTAGCCCCGATTAAATTATAGCGTCTTCCAGATGGATACAGTCTTCCATTTATTTTGTTTGTGCTACTACATGGAACCAGTAATGCTCAGTAAATGTTGCTGGCAATTTCTATAATTTTCAGTTGCTTGCTTGATTTGTATTATTATTAAAATAGTTAGAAATTTCCATTTCATATTTCTTTGTACCTAAACTATAATTTTTAGATGAAGTAATTTGGTGGTGTTATTAGAAGTTTACATATTGTGAGCAATACCATTTGATCTCAAATGACCATCAACAGATTTACTGCTTAACAACTGGAATAAATACAGAATGGATGTGGTAAATTGGTAGATTCTAAAAATCAGGCAAATTTTTTGAGAATATTGATAACAATAAGTTTTCTTAATATCTCCTCTGCAAGATAATTTCAGCTAATCTCTAATGAGCATTAGCTTCAAAATCCAAATTTGTAAGCCGTGTATTATCACTATGAATCAAACAAGAAAAACAAGGTTATTTGTATTAACACTTCTAATTAGACTTAACTCCTAATAAGTTTCCACTGTATTTCATTGTTCAACTATCTTATCTACCATAGTTGTGAAATTAGAAAAAGTCTGAAAGTGCCTGCTTTAAATGTCAGTTGAGTACCTTCCAAAAAGTGAAACTGTAAAAGTATTTAGGGGTGAAGTATACTGATAACTGCAACTTTGAAATGCATCAAAAAATAAGAGGATTGATGAATGAATATATGGTGATGCACATATATAGCAAAATAAGAATTGTAGAGTCTAGATGTTGGGAATATGGGTATTCACTGAACAGTTTTTAAACATTTTTTGAGAGAAATTTTTCATGATAAAACATTGGGAATAAATGAACTTACATTTATCTAGAATTTATGAGGAATATAGCTATATAAGTATTCCCTTTAGATCAGAATATGAAATTGCCATTTATGTAGGTCCAAAACAGACCAAAACAGAAAAATATATGCAATTTCATTTGGCTCAACCTAGTATTAAGGCTGTTCGGAGTAGATATATTTTTACATTTTATTTTTTTCCTGATGACTGAGATTGGCTTAATTTAAAATTTGATTCACCTTAATACTAATTAATTGTGCTTGTCTAGCTGTACTTAGCTGCATATGTGTTCCATTGTTGAAATGAAAAACTTACAAGAACTTAGAAAGTTTCCAGATACTGCCTATATTTTTTTTACCAAAATAGTGCATCTCATTTCCCAGAGATATATAAATATATTTACAAAAGCACCTCAGTTGTAGGGAAAATGTATACTAATACCTCAATTAACCGATCTATTTGCTCTATACTTGGCAATTGAAATTTTATGCAAAAATTCTAGGTTAAAACCCAGTCAAACCACAGATAGTGGTGATGGTTGCACAACAATGTGAATGTACTTAATGCTACTGAATTATACTCTTAAAAAATGGTTAAAGTAATAAATTTTATGTTATGTATATTTTACCACAATAAAATTTTTAAAAAGAAGAAGGAGGAGGAGGTGGCATTTTTAGGTAATCATAAGACAGTGGGCCCAGACAGCTTGGCTGAGGTGGGTCACAGGGTCAGCATGCTAAACAAACACTACCTACCTCCCATTTTTACCTAGGTTGTATGAAACATGACTGAATTTGAAAGCTGAGTGAGATCACAATTTTGGATATTGTTGCCATGGATTCAGTTCAGTTTTTTTCCCTGTTCTAACTTAAAAATTTTAATTGGATCACACAAGTAAAATTCTTGTTGTTCTACAAGGACTGGGAAAGCGCCCCCCTCCCGCCTCGGGGGCCCCCCCCCGCACCCACCCATAGTAGCTGACTGTATAGTCTTTCTCACTGAGCATAGTTAAGCTAGTAGTTCTGACAGAAGGCACTTATCTAATTAAAAGGAAAATGCACAATAGATAACAAGCTTTAATTAGCAGTTGTTTCCAATTGTACAAACTGTAATGGGGGGAGGAATGAATGGTCTCATTGAATCAAATTGTATTTGCTTTAATGGAAATAGATGTCAAAACTTATGTTAATTGGGAGAAAAAAATAAGGAACTGCAACCTAATTCCACAAGAATTAGACTTCATGAAGTACTTTTAAAAGCAAAATGGGAAGATGTTTTAAAATTAACCATCTCGTTAGGATTTTGAGTTTTGTTAATATAAGCATCCCAGACTTGAGACTTTTAGATTTGAAATATAATAAATGTAATTTAATTCCCCAGAAAAGGGAAAACCAGTCATACCTATAACGGAAACAAGTAGGCCCAAATTTTTCATATCTCTATCCTAAAACAGTTTATCCTAATGTCTTCTTCCCTTTGTGCTCTTTTTTTAGAAAAATTTAATAATCTTTCTTCTTATAGTTATGCTTTGCCAGGAACAGAAACGGGTGTGTTTTTTCCCTTAGTTGAAAATTGAATGGGACCGTATGTGAAATCACTTGTGTAGTACTTGAGTTTTCCAAATTCAAGAGGTTAAGAAGTTAGTGTTATTGAAATGGAGAATATACTGAATTTCACACATTCCTGTGCTAACCACTCCTCAAAGAATTCTTGGGTCTTATAAAACAAAAGCAGCTTGAAGCTTGTCTCTTGAGACTCTGGTTCATTAGAGAAGGTGAAGAATTGCTAGAAAGATGGAGGAAATGACATAAAAACAAAATTCAGAGAATAAGATTCCACAGAAGAATACAAGGAAAAACAGAAAAAGAAGAAACTACTGTACTGGAAATGTATTAGTTGTTTTGTCTCCTCAATCTTTTAGTGTAGAATAGAGGTTCTATAATTATTCATACTAGGCTCATCCATTAAGTGAGGGCCACAGTGGAGCCAAGGGTGAGGTCTTAAAGATAATATCATTATTTTCTTTTTTAATTTACAGAAGTTGCTGGGTGTGTTTTGCCACTGATGAAGATGATAGAACAGCTGAATGGGTGAGACCATGCAGGTGCAGAGGATCTACAAAATGGGTTCACCAGGCTTGTCTGCAGCGCTGGGTGGATGAAAAGCAAAGAGGAAACAGTACAGCCAGAGTGGCGTGTCCTCAATGCAATGCTGAATACTTAATAGTTTTTCCAAAGTTGGGTAAGAAGATCCTTAAAAACAGCACAGATGTATGTGATGTTATTGTATATAATCCTATGATCTCAGGTTTATTTTAAAGTGACCCATCTCTTTGCTTTTTGTGAATTTCTCTGTTCCCTTTCTGTTGTTTCCTCTAAATGTCTGACATTTTTTTGTTTTGCTAATAGTTTATATTATCCTTAATATATCCCCAAATCCATCCATTTGTCTGTGTATTAAATGTGTTTTTATTTGGTTGAGTGGATAAAGAACTTGGACGTCTAACTGTGGATAAAATCAAATAACAAAGCTATAATAAAAAGCTGACTAAAGAGCCTCATCCTCTGGAGACCATTGGTGTAGAAGAAAGAAAATAGTAGTATGTACTTCCTAATACTTAGCCTTAATTCTTCTATTAAGGAATAAAAGTAGGAAAATTAAAGATTGAATAAAAGTCATCATTAAGCTCATCTTTGGAATCCCATTTATGTGGTTGTCTTTCATGAAAACTGCTTTCCTTTTTTTGCAAATTGGCAGGCAAGGAATAACAAAGGTCTTTGAGAATGGGACTAGCATTGAAAAAAGTACAGCAGACTATTTAAAGGAGGCTGTAACTAAGGGTGATATTTAGTTAGCATGTTCCATTACAGCCATGTGATTATGAACTGGTGTCGTTCTCTTTGGTGTTTATGCCGTGCCAGTTGTTAAACATCTTTACTATCCCCATTGGCTGTAATCAAGAGATGTATAAAGGCAGTTTGAGTTCTGGAAAGGTTAGAAGGAAAGGATGACTTTCGTGACAGGGCAGAGTAGTGTTCAAGGAGACATTGGAATTAATTATTAGATATGTTTTTTTCTGGGTGTTATATATTGAAATCAGACTCATTTTTCTTTCAGTGAGGCAACATAAATGCAGATAATGAATTGCTTTTCTAATGCGAGAAGAGTAATAATAAGGGCAAACAAAATTTCCATGGTTGTCTCTATTTCTTTATCATGATGCGTACAAAGAAATGATAGCTTCCTATGAAGGGAAAGTAGTGTAGTAGAGAAAGTAGTGTTTGTCATTTAGAATTTGTGGATCACATGATGGGTCCTCATGCATACCACTGATTTTAGATAAACACAAAACAGTAATCCAGAATTTTTTTGTTATAATATCAAAACAGTATTAAAATAATTTAAACATCAGGAGAAGTGATTATTTTGCTGCAATCTTTCACCACAATGATATCTGGCTTACTAAAGTCAAAGTTAAGTTTTCGTATTTAACTGTTTCTTTTCCTACTCTTTAGTTCTATTAAGTAAGATAACCCCACTTTTCAACTACAGGTTGTTGGGAATAGCAGCAGATATAGGATGATTCTTTTAGATGTTTTAGATATTTAGATGGATGGATACAGTAATTATTGCAAGAATTCTCATTGAAAACTACATACAGTGTTCAGTGAGGCGCTCAGTTGACAAATATATGGCACTCAACAGTTGAATATTTCAGTTTGGAAGATGGCAGTGGGTAAATCTGTTGTTTTGGTTGTATTCAAGTCTAGGAAATATGTTTTTAGGTCTAGAGTGGTAATTGTGATTTTTAAGTATACCTAATAATAAGACATTGATTTCTTTCTACAGCAAGGAAAGAAAATGGCTAGATGTTGGAAAAGTCAAACTCTTTGGTTAACCCATTTGTATCATAATTTGGTCTTCGTATTTTATCCTTAAGGATTGTTACTTACTTCACCCTCAAATGACAGGTTCAAGTTATTCAATATACTGTATGTCATAGAGACCTGCCACTTGAGTAAGCCACAGATAATCGTAGAAATTTTTTACTGACCTTGTTGGTGTTAGGGAAAAAAAATTATATCCTCCATTTGAATAGTTTTTGTTAGCATCTTAATTCCTGACAAAATAGAAAAGCAGAGTCTTGTATTTGCTTCTTCTTTCTTGACATAACATGCTGAAGATACCTGCAGAGGGGCTGTAGTTTGAGTGATATTTGTAATTTTCCATTTAGTTTTAACACTGACTCAAGAATAGCAGGCTTATTGTCAAATGCCAGCTGTTGTCTGTAAATGAAACCATGCATGAATTGGCTTTCAGGTGCCATACACTTCCTTGCTACACACATGGCTAGTGCTCTTGGCCATACTGATTCCAATATACCTTTTCAAGTCAAGGTTCAAACATAATTGTGGGTTAAAAGAAAATCACTTCTCTATAGTATGTGTTCATTGATAATCAGAATTAAAAGTTGCCTATACTTCTTGATTTACATATTATGTATGTGCCAAGAGTTGATTCGTATTCTGAACTCTAATGGTTTCATGCAGCCATAAAACAAAATATTTGAGCAAACGTCTGTGATAGTAATTGTTCTTCCTTACTGTATACCACACATACAATGTTCAGTAGTGTCATCTGATGATAAAATTTTGCCCAGTAGATTGTTTTGTTTCTCTCTGAGCATATTTGTCGTTAATTTTGCAGCTAACTGTAGTTATGCCTGTTTTTGTTAAAATAAGTTGAAGTTCCTTTGACTGCAGGTTTTAATCTTTGTTTTCAGTGACAAAATTCATCATGCAGGCTTTGATTGGTTTACTGAAGTGCTTGAAATTATATGAATGCTTCAGTGGCTTCTTGGCCCTGTTTTATAATGTTTCATCCATGTTTAATAATGTATTATAGTACAGTGGGAACAATGAGGTCTCCCAGTGCAAACTAATCACTCCGAATTCACTGATCACAGCCTATTCTAAGATCACGCTATCTTCTCTCTGAGATCATACTCTTTTTACTCTAAGATATCCTATTTATCATTTATGACATTCTGAGTTGTGTTTTTATCACTCTTCAGTGAACACTTTTGAGGCATTGATTCATTTTCCAAAATTTGGGATTTAACACATTATGATAGTAACAACAATAAAATATGTATTTAAGCAATGTAAACAACTCACATGATGTGAGTTTGTTAGCTGAAACAAGCAGTCCCCTCTTGACTATCCTTGTAGAGCATATATGACCCTTGAAACATAACAATTAAAAACCTAAAAGAATTTCCTTGAAAGTCATCATTAATCTTACTTTTCAAATTTGTGAAATGTTTGTAATCAAAACTTTTATCATTTTTTCATCATATTGTCTGTATAGTTAATAGATTGCCAGGGACCACCATTGGTCCCCACATGGCACTGGAGAAACACTGACTAGAAGAAGGAATAAAAGACAAGAGAAAAGATGCAAACGAGCCGGCCCTATGGCCAAGTGGTTAAGTTCGTGTGCTCTGCTTCGGTGGCCCAGGGTTTCGCCGGTTCGGATCCTGGGCACGGACATGGCACTGCTCATCAGGCCATGCTGAGGCAGCGTCCCACATGCCACAACTAGAAGGACCCACAACTAAAATATCCAACAATGTACTGGGGGGATTTGGGAGAAAAAGCAAAAAAAAAAAAGATTGGCAACAGTTGTTAGCGCAGGTGCCAATCTTCAAAAAAAAAAAAAAAAAGATGCAGAGAAGGAGAGGTGATGGTTAACATTCTATAGGATGATCTCTCTGTAGCAGGTATTAAAAAAACATTTTCATATGGATTTAGCCTGTGGCTGGCTGGCTAGCGGGCCAGGTCTACATCTTTTCTGTTAGTAGTGGTCAGAATGGAGGGGTGGCAGCAAGTGTATATTGTTGATTCTTGGTAGGAAATATATTGTGCTAAGTTATGAAAAACTTAAGAGGACTCATCGGACTTTCATTCCTTTCACTATTTGCTACCCATCCTAGGGTTTGCTTTCTTCTTTCTTCTAGTGAGTTGGGCCAATTGTATATATGCTGCTACTTAAAAACTACTGAAATTGTGGTCTGAGGACCAATTGACATTGGTATCATCTAAGAGCCGTTAGGAATGAAGAACCTCAGCCCCTTCTCCCACCCACCCCTAGTTTTTAATTAATCTGCATTTTCATGAGATTATTAGTTAATTTCTGTGCACATTAAATTTAAGAAACATTGCTTTAAAACATAAAGGGAATACCAGCTGAGGATAGTTTGATTGATCAAAGAACATGCTTTATGTCTGTCCTTTTAAATGTGTTAAGGCTTGTTTTATGGCCTAACATGGCTTATGCTGGTGAATGTTCCATGTACACTTGAGAAGAATGTGTTCTGTTGTTAGGTGGAGTGTTCTACAAATATCTAGTTGGCTCATAGTATTCTCAAGTCTTCTATTTCCTTGTTGATCTTTTACCTATCCTTCATTGAAAGTGGGATATTGAAGTCTTCAAATACTATTGAATTTTCTATTTCTCCAGTTCTGTCCATTTTTGCTTCACTTATTTTGGGCTCTGTTGTTAGGTCCATATATGCATTTTCCTGATGGATTGTCCCTTTTACCATTATAAAATGTCTTTCTTGGGGCTGTCCCTGTGGCCAAGTGGTTAAGTTCACGTGCTCTGCTTCAGTGGCCCAGGGTTTTGCTGGTTCAGATCCTGGGCGCTGACATGGCACCACTCATCAAGCCATGCTGAGGTGGCACCCCACGTGCCACAACTAGAAGGACCCACAACTAAAAACATACAACTGTGTACCAGAGGGCTTTGAGGAGGAAAAGGAAAATTTTTAAAATCTTAAAAAAAAGTAGTCTTTGTTTCTCGTAACAATTTTTGTCTTAAAGCTGATTTTACCTGATATTATTGTAGCCACTTCCACTCTTTTATGTCTTGATAGATTAGTAGTAAATTCTTAGATTACTTTCAAGTTGTTTTTATTACAGTTTTGTTCTTATTTCTTTATTTTATTGTTCTAAACTAAACATTAATTCAAACTTCCGTATAGAGTTGAAGGTAACTAACAATCACTCTCAAAGAGTGGTTGTCAAATGTTAAGTGGAGTGTAAAGCTTAGAAGGGAAAGATATTCACCAGGGATGATGAAGGATGATTCCTGGGAGAAACCTTTCCCAAAGAATCTAGCAAATAAAAGTAATAGTTGTTACAGTTTTATTTTATTTTATAGTATTATTTCATTAATAATATTAACAGTGATATCAATAGCTGTCATTTGCTAACAGGCCCCTACTATTTGCCAGACACTATATTGGTCACTTTGACTGTATTATTTTATTTATGCCTCTCAAAAGCTCTGTACAGTAGATATTGTCCTTATTTTACAGATAAGGAAACAGACTCAGCAAATTTATTTAATGGAAGGCCATAGGCTTCTAAGAAGTGAAGGAGCCAGGATTTTAAATTGCTGAATTTCTTGTCACTGTCACTCAGTGAGTCAGCTACCAGGCTACCTATGAATAGTAAATAGTTTCATGTACCATAAGAACTAATAGGGATAATGTGAATTTGAATTTATTTGAGATACTGTTAATAAATTACATGTATGATGTATAAATAAATATATGATGTATAAATAAATATTTTCTATGATTTCACGCTCTTGGAATCAAAGGAGAAACATGGCCCAGGAAATATGGCTAGGTGCTTGTACTAGCAAATGGTCTATTCTCTTTTTTTCTTTGTCTCAATATTTGCCCTGCTGGGAATGGAAAGGAATAGCAAATATAGGAAAGAAAAGATGCAGCAACTACAATATCTCATAGGCAGTATTTTCTTTTAACTCTTCTAGACGTTTAAGTTTACTTTATGTATTTTCCCTCCAGATTATACATTCACGTGGATTGAAATTCAAAGATACTAAACACAGTAGGGTATTCAATGAAAAGTCTTTTTACCATGTCTGCCAGCCATGATGCCAAGTAAGTTACTTACTTAGAGGCCACCATTGTTAGAAGCCTCTGATGTTTCATTCCAGAGTGTTCCTCTTTTTCTTCACTTTCTTTTCCCTCTTCTTCCCTCCCTCCTCCTCTACATTCTCTCTCTCTCTCTCTCTTTGCAAATAGTAGGGTAGAGTTAAGGGAACAAACAAGGGACAGGGAAATACCCAGAGATTGGCAACTATGGAAAATCATTTCCACTCCTAGGCCTGAAAATACAAGGAAGGGAGCTGTTAAAAGAACTTGACAAGAGCTGTAGCAGAGGAAGAGGGGCTGTTTAACAGGACCTATGGTCTCAGAGAGAGAAATGCAAGCTTCCTCCACTGAAGGAGTCAGGGAAAAAATTCCCTTAACACTTTTTCTACCCTCTGGTTTTCTAGCCATTCCACTCATTATTTGAACACATCAGAAGCTAGAGTGCAAGGTTGCCTGAAAGATGCAGTTTGTTTGGTCGGCCTCCTAATGCACAAAGCAGAGTGGAAAAACATGAAGAGTAAACTTGGAGAGGCAAACAGAATATTGAGCACAATTAGGTTATGTGTCAATATGTTCAAGACTATTATACTATATATCCTGTTGTACTTGTTTTTTTTTTTCTAACAATATATGGTAGATACTGTTTTATATTAGTTCACAAAGAGGTTTTTTTTCTTTACAGTTACATAGTATTCTATTACATAGATGTATGGCTGTTTATATAACCATTCTTCCATCGATGGACATATAGGCTGTTTCTAATCTTTTACTGCTACACACAGTGTTGTCATAAATAACTGTGCAAAATAACTTTATGCACATCTGCAAATTTATCTGTAAGATAAATGACTAGAGTGGAATTGCTGGAGGTCAAAGGGTATGTACATTTTTAACATTAATAGATATCATCAAATTGGCTTCTGTAGAGATTATACCTATTTAATCTTCCCAACAGTGTACTGGAGTGCCTGCTTTTCCATTGTCTTTACCAACATGCTGCTATATACAGAACTAATTATATCTGCTACCTTAGCGTTGATCAAAGCTCAGCAGAATGTTCACTCAGGTATTTTTTCTCTTTTATTATGAAATATTTCATTTGTTGAAAAGGAGTGTAACTACATATGAGAAATAAAGACTAATAAACTGTCACCCATTTACCTACCCTTCAGGTTTAGAAATAAAATATCCTGGTGAGTTCAACTTTTTATCATTAAGGAATGACTGTTTTATCCATAATAATATTTTGTCTTAAATTTGTATATAATATAGACATGATAATATAGAATAGACATAATAATATAGTTATACTAGCTTTTTAAAAATTGTTTTATTTTAGAACAATTTTTGATTTACTGAAAAATCGCAAAGATAATACAGAGAGTTCCCATGTATCCCACATCCAGTTTCCTCTGTTATTAACATCTTATTTTAGTATGGTACATTTGTTATAATTAATGAAAAAAATTGATACATTTTTATTATCTTAAGTCTATACTTATTTAGATTTCCTTAATTTTTACTTAATGTCTTCATTCTGTTCCAGGATCCTATCCAAGATTTCACATTACATTCAGTCATCTCTCCTTAGGCTCCTCTTGGCTGTAACAGTTCTCAGACTTTCCTTGTTTTTGCTGACTTGACAGTTTTGAGATGTACTGGTCAGATGTTTTACAGAGTGCCCCTCAATTGGGAGTTGTCTGGTGTTTTTTCCATTATCTGTTGGGTTATGAGTTTTGGGGAGCAAGACCATGGTGGTGAAGTGCCATTTTCATCACTCACATCAAAGGCACATACTATCAACATCACTTATCACTGGTGATACTGCCCTTGATCCTCTGGCTAAAGTAGTGTTGTCAGCTTTCTCCGCTGTAAGGTTACTCTTTTTCCCCCTTTAATACCAGCTTTTTTTTAATGTTCTTGTGGCATTTGCCCTATTTATCTTTTCTCGCCCTTTTATTTTCTTTTCTTCTGAATTCTTTGTTACATTTATTGTGATACTGATATAGTTGGGTTTTTACTGTCAAATTTTGTGCCTTCTGTTTGTCTTGCCTTGCCCCTTTTTTCCCCTTTTCTTGACCATCTTCTGGATTGAAGTATTTTTTCCTCTGATACTGTATTTTCTCATATACTAGTTTTTAAGCTTTATACTTTCCCTATTTAGGTGGCTATCCTTGAAAAGTCTTAGCTTTTATCTCTTCAAATATTGCTTCTCCCACATTTTCCCCATTCTCACCTTTAGAACTCTAGTTAGAATTATGTTTGACATTTTCGTTTTATTTTTCATGTCTCTTAACTTCTTTTTTATGTTTTTCAATTTTTTGGTCTCTATGCTGCAGCATTGTAATTTCTTCTTAACTGTTAGCCAGTTTGCAAATTCTGTCTTCAGCAGTGTCTAATCTTGCAGGGATTTTTTTTCTGTAAGTTCTAGTTGTTTCTTAAATGTGCCTGGTCATTTTTAATAGTCTCTTGCTTCTTGTTCATTTATAAGTTATCCTGTATTTTATTACATAGTTCTTATAATCAGATTGATAATTGCATTATCTAAAGCCTTTGGTAGCCTCAACCTGTTGTTTTTCTTCCAGCTCTTGTTCATGATACTTTATTTCTCTTGAGTGTGGGAATTGTGTTCATATCTATAGGCTGTGGAATCTTGAAGGTGAAGGAATGCCAGAAAGGATTTGTACTTGCTGTTCATAGATAACCCAAGAGATGCCACAAATCTGGGATTGCTTTAACCTCTGGGCTTGGGAGTTCTCCTGTGGCACAGACAGATTTCTAACCTGAAATCAGCATGCCAGTTAACTGTGGTTACAGATTCTTAGAGGAAACTATCCTCTTCATCATACTTTTCTTCTTGAAGATGACGGTTTTCTTTGTTGTCATGTGGATTTTTTTTCTAGCTTACCCTTTCAGGGCTTATATAACCCTTTTGAGGGTCTCAGCATCAGTTCTCCAGCTTTGTATGGACCCAAAACCTCGTATGACTTATAAAACCCAGTATTTTAGCTTTTCCCCTTGTAATTTTTTTCACTGAAGAAAAAGATCATTTGTCATTATAGAATTTCCCATTTTCTAGATTTTGTTATTACTCACACCCCAAGAATACTTGGGCAATATGTTGCTCTGTCCTCTGCATTTCTTTTATAAATTGGTGGTTAGATCTCATCAGTGAGTTATGCATGATTTTTTTTTGGCAAGAATTTTTCATAGATGGTTCTGTGTACTTATAAATCACAACATGAGGCACATAATGTGTCACTGTCTTTCAAAGAAGAGACTTTACAGCTGACACCTCAGAACTGCAAAGGATCATAAGAGACAAATTGGATAAGCTAGAAGTAAAGGATAAATTCCGAGAAACATACAACCTACCAAGACTGAGTCATGACAAAATGGAAAATGTGAACAGAACAATAATAAATAAAGAGATCATAAACCTTCGAACAAAGGAAAGCCCAGGACCCAGTGGTTTCACTGGTGAATTCTACTGAACATTTAAGGTAGAATTAATGGCAGTCCTTCTTAAACTCTTCCAAAAAATTGAAGAGGAGAAAACACTCCCAAACTCATTTTATGAGGCCAGCATTACCCTGATACCAAAACTGGATGATGACACTACAAGAAAAGAAAACTATGGGCCAATATCCCTGATGAATATAGATGCAAAAATTCTGAACAAAATACTAGCAAACCAAATTCAGCAGCACGCTAAAAGGATCATACACTACAGTCAAGTGGAATTTATTCTTGGCGTGCAAGGATGGCTCAACATCTGCAAATCAATCAATGTGTTGACACCACATTAATAGATTGAAAGATAAAAGTTGTATCTCAATAGATGCAGAAAAAAAATCATTTGACAGAATTCAACATCTTTTCTTGATAAAACTGTCAACAAATTGGGTATGGAAGGAATACACTTCAACAAAATAAAGGCCATATATGACAAACTCACAGCTAACATCATACTCAACAGTGAAAGATTAAAAGCTTTCTCATTAGGATCAAGAATAAGACAAGGGCATCCACTCTCACCACTCCTGGTTAACATAGTACTGGAAGTTCTAGCCAGAGCAGTTAGGCAAGAAAAAGAAATAAAAGGCATCCAAATTGGGAAAAAAGAAGTAAAATTGTCTTTGTTTGCAGATGATATGATCTTATATATAGAAAATCCTAAAGACTCCATCAAAAAACTGTTAAAACTAGGGGCCGGCCCAGTGGTGCAGTGGTTAAGTTCACATATTGTACTTCGGCGGCCAAGGGTTCACCAGTTCAGATCCCTGGTGCAGACCTACGCACCACTTGTCAAGCCCTGCTGTGGCAGGCATCCCACATATAAAGTAGAAGAAGATGGACATGGATGTTAGCTCAGGGCTGACCTTCCTCAGCAAAAAGAGGAGGATTGGCAGCAGATGTTAGCTCAGGGCTAATCTTCCTCAAAAAAAAAAAAAACTGTTAAAACTAATAAATGAATTCAGTAAAGTTACAGGATACAAAATCATTGTATAAAAATCAGTTACATTTCTATACACCAACCACAAACTATCTGAAAAAAAAATCCCAAATATAATATAAAAAATAAAACACTTAGGAATAAAACTAAAAGTTACGAGACATTGATGCACGAAAAATTGAAGGAGACACAGATAAATGGAAAGATCCCATGTTCATGAATTGAAAGAATTAATACTGTTGAAATGTTTGTACCACAGAAAACTATAGATTCAGCGCAATCCCTATCAAAATTCCAATGGCATTTTTCACAGATGTAGAAATAATAATCCTAAAATTTGATGGAACCACAAAAGACCCTGAACAACCAGAATAATCCTGAGAAAAGAACAAAGTGGAAGGCATCACATTTCCTGATTTCAAACTTTGTTATAAGGGTGTAGTAATCAAACAATGTGGTATTGGCATAAAAACTGACACAAAGACCAATAGAACAGAATCAAGATCCCAAAATAAACCCACACATATAAGTTCAACTAATATTTGACAAGGGAGCCAAGAATACTCAGTTGGGAAAGAATAGTCTCTTCAATAAATGGTGTTGGAAAAACTAGGTGTTCACATGCAAAAGAATGAAATTGGACCCCTATCTTATACCGCTCACAAAAATTAACTCAAAATACATTAAAGACTTAAATATAAAACCTCAAAGTGTAAGACTTCTAGAAGAAAACATAGAGGGAAAGCTCCTTGACATTGGTCTTAGCAATTATTTCTTTGGCTATGACACCAAAAGCGCAAGCAACAAAAGCAAAACTAAACAAGTGGGACTACATCAAACTGAAAAGCTTCTGCACATCAAAAGAAACAATCAGCAACCTGTGGAATAGGAGAAAAATATTTGCAAACTATCTAGGGGTAAATATTCAAAATGCATAAGGAATTCATACAACTCAGTAGCTTTAAAAAATCTGATTTAGAAATAGGCAAAGGACTTGAATAGACATTTTCCAAAGAAGACATACAAATGGCCAACCAGTGCATAGAAAGATGCTCAACATCACTAATCATCAGGGACATGCAAATCAAAACCACAATGAGATATCATCTCACACCTGTTAGAATGGCTGTTATCAAAAAGACACGAGACAAGTGTTGCAACACTATGGAGAAAAGGGAATCCTTGTGTACTGTTAGTGGGAATGTAAATTGGTACAGCCACTATGGAAAACAGTATGGAGATTACTTACAAAATTGAAAATAGATCTATCATATCCAGCAACCCCACTTCTGAGTAGATATCCAAAGGAAACAAAATCACTATCTTGAAGAGATCCCTATACCCCCATGTTCATTGCAGCATTATTCACAATAGCCAAGACATGAAAACAACCTAACTGTCCATTGACAGAATGGATAAAGAAAATGTATTGAGTGTGTGGGTGTGTGTGTGCGCACACACATACATACAGTGGCATATTCAGCTGTTTAAAAAAAAGGAAATCCCACCCTTTTTAACAACATGGGTGGTCTTAACGACATTATGCTAAGTGAAATAAGTCATAGAGAGAGATAAATACTGTATGTTCTCACTTACCTGTATAATCTAAA